GTTTGGATCCGAGTGAGGCCAATCCTGCCTCTCACAACCTTCCTCTCGGGCAAAACCGGTGCCGGAGTAAACCAACCCCTGGAATCTGTGGGGCCGTACTGGCAGTCCGGTGACAGGCAGTGCCCTGAAGTTGCTGCCGTCGAAGAGTTAAACGAACTTTCAGGGCTCTGTTTAAGCGTTGCCCCGGTCCAATTATTTATCTAATCCAGGAAACCACTGCCCAGGCCAGTTAACCTTTAAATTCTGGCCCTGCTTCTGGGGAACTTGGCATGGCAGCCTTTCTCACTGACATTGAACTGATAACGCAGAGGGTATGTGAACGCGATCCTCGCCTCCCACGTGAGGAAATGGGGGGGTTTCTGGCCCCTGTTTCAGGATGTCTGCGGAGTTACTGATCTGTCCCTCAGCGCTGTGCTCGCAACTCCCGCTCACCTGGGAGCGTGCAAGATTTTCAGTTTACTAGATGAGGGGGTAAAACACGCTTTCAGCCGGCAGTTGGTATTCCCTGGAAAGGCTGCTCTGCTGCTGGAAGGTGAATCGTCTACATCAGCTGTACTGTGGAGGCTGCTAAAATACCTTGTTGATGTGAAAGATGAAAACTCTGTGCCCTGAGCTAATTCTAATTTAGCTAATTACTTTCTGCCAACTTCCATCAGTCTGGTCACGTCAGTTGTTTCCTAGTCCTGCTGTCTCAGGGACCAGGCCCTCTCTTCACCGCACCTTTACTGTTAAATTAAGTGACACCCTTCTACATCGTCGCCCTGAACAACCCTTTTGGGTTGAAAGGTTACGTTTAAAGGCCAGAAGGCTATAGCCATTGCTTAAAGCTCAGCTTGTCTTTGGTAGGATGAAACCAGGAGTGAGTGAATCTTCAGCCATTCCTTGTCGGAAGTTATTAGCATTATTATGTGAAGGTTTAGCCCATGGGCCCTGTTTAAACTCAGAAATAAGAATGGCTGTTTGAATATCAGAATGAATTTATTTTCTTTTCTATTTTTTAAACTGGAAGTGGGGAGGTTTAGATTAGGTATCAGGAAGAAATTCTTCCCGGAGAGGGTGGTGAGGCACTGGAACAGGTTGCCCAGAGAAGCTGTGGATGCCCCATCCCTGGATGTCTTCAAGGCCAGGCTGGATGAGGCTTGGAGCAACCTGGTCTAGTGGAAGGTGTCCCTGCCCATGGCAGGGGCGTTGGAACTAGATGTTCTTTAAGGTCCCTTCCAACCCAAACCATTCCATGTTTTTTGTAACTGGACAAGTTACGGCTTCGTGCTGTGGGGGTCAGTCAGTCACAAGGGTCTTGCTGGAAACAGAACGGGGATCTTGCTCAGAAGTGGGTTTGGGGAAAATAATGTTAGCAGTAGAGTTCCTGTGACATAGAGGTGAGAAGTTTGTCTTCCCATGAATGGAAATATGTATTCACCCATCTTCCCATCCACTGCTCAGCGATGGGGTACTTGTGTACCCAGCCACACCTCGGTGCCTTCTCTTGCTCACTGGTTTCCCTGACATTAGTCCTCCTGCAGTTCACCTCCAGAACGTTTTAACCTTTCATCCTCCAACAGAGCATCAAAAGCTCAGCAGATGGGACTGTTTAAAACTGAGATTGTTCCAGTGAAGACCACCGTCCTGGATAATCAAGGCAACCGAAAAACAATCACCGTGCACCAAGATGAAGGGATTAGGCCCTCCACGACCCTGGAAGGCTTGGCAAAGCTGAAGCCTGCCTTCAAAGAGGATGGCAGCACTACAGCAGGTCAGCCCTCTCTCACCTTTGTGTTGTCCCTGGGGTTTACCTGCCTTCCCATAAAACACACGCAGGCAGAAGGGGTGTTAATGGAGCTCTTCCAACAGGTAATGCCAGCCAGGTCAGTGATGGAGCAGCTGCTGTGCTTCTGGCAAAACGCTCGAAAGCAGCACAACTGGGGCTGCCGGTCCTGGGGGTGCTGAGGTCCTTCGCTGTGGTCGGAGTGCCGCCGGATGTTATGGGCATAGGGCCTGCCTACGCCATCCCCGTTGCTGTGGAGAAGGCGGGTAAGAGCCGCTCGTCACTCGGACGGCGTCGGGCACGTGGCGGGTTGGACCCTGTGGACTGAAACCGGAGGTGGTGTTACTCGACCTTGTGCCGCTGTCAGCCATGGCAACAGCAAACTTAAGTTCAAAACCTTAAAAAGAGATCCCAACCAGGATCTTTGAGCTCAGGATTCAACCCCTGCACAGTCTCAACAAACAGCTAACAAGTCCCGAGACATTTAGCGTTCATTTAGGGCTGTTTTTCCTTCATTACCGCGATCAGCCTGTCAGGGCGTTGGTATTGCATCTGGTTTTTGGTTTTCTATACAGTTTCGGCATCTGGCAAGGCAAGCAGGCTTTCCTCAGGGTTCTTACTAGGGCAAGTAGCTTTTAGAGCTGTGTGTTGGTGTTGTGTCTGCCTGTCATTGCGATGGTCACATGCTCACCCATAGTTTTATATTTCCGTCTCGAAATACCCTTCGATCTCTAATCCATCTGCAAAAAAATCACCTTTAATCTGAGGAAATTTGGCAAAGTCAGTGACACAGTACCATGGACTGTGGTGTTTTATGGTCTTTACTCGCCATCATACGTAAACCTACGTACGATATAGGCACCCCACTTGGAGCCAAGGTCCTGCGCTTACTGTCGTTAGTGGAGTAGAGCTAGAGTTTCTAAAGGGAGGTTTTAAGTGAATTCTTCTCTTTGGTGAGGTCGTAAGGCTAAATACCTTTTCCAGGGATGGGGCATCCATTTAAGTGTTCAAGGCCAGGCTGGATGAGGCTTGGAGCAACCTGGTCTAGTGGAAGGTGTCCCTGCCCATGGCAGGGGGGTTGGAACTGGATGATCTTTAAGGACCCTTCCAGCCCAAACCATTCTGTGATTCTGTGATAAGGAATTAAATCCTGACTTTTCTGAACCGTAGGTCTGACTCTGAATGACATTGATATATATGAAATCAATGAAGCCTTTGCGAGCCAGGTGAGTGATCATCCTGTTGGAGTTGCTGCATTCCTTGGTAACCGAGCGTGTTGCAGTTTGGCCTCCGAATTACGATTCGAACTTGTTCCACATGTTAACATTTGGCTAAAAGTGTCATAACACGCGCAGATGGTTTTTCCATTTCCTTCAAATAAAAATAAGCAGGACATTGCTTATACAGCGTAATATTTAAAAGAAAAACATGCCCACTCGAGTAAGAACGTCATCTTTACTGTCGTACCCTGGTACCAACTCGCAGTATCTGTTTCACCAGAGCTGTACCGTTACCCGGCGGTGTCAGCACCTGCGCTGCGCTTGTCCCTAATGGGGCGGGGGGTAGGGGCTTCAGCACTGTGCCACCTTCTGCCCGTCAGGAGTCAGTTTGGGGCGAGGTTGGTAGCCTTAGCATTCATGCGGTTCCACTCCCTCCCGCTGGGAAGCGCAGTCCAGCCGGAGTCGGGTCTCTGCGTGCGAACCAGCTCGTTCTGTAAGTGCAGCTGACACAAGGGTGTGGATTTGGTGTGGGAACACTGCTGGAGCTAAATTTCTTCGGAGCACAAATCTTGAAGCCCCCGGAGCTGCCTGGGGTGGTTTCCTCTCCCTCTTTCAACACAGATGAGGTCATGATTCTTCTCTCCAGTCCTCTTTGCTCTCTGCTGCAGGAGACGCAAGAGCATCTCCATGAAACCGTGCCCTCTCTCTCTGCAGGCCGTGTACTGTGTGGAAAAGCTGGGCATTCCCATGGAGAAGGTCAACCCCCTGGGAGGAGCAATAGCACTGGGGCATCCGCTGGGCTGTACCGGTGCTCGACAAGTTGTCACTCTGCTCAATGAACTGAAGCGCCGAGGGAAGAGGTGAGCCCCGGGGAACGGCGTTAGCACTTTCACGTGGGTCAGTGACAGGCTCAGAAGTAACTGCTGGTTTGGGTTAAGCTTTCTCCGTCCCTCTGACGCCTTTGAACGCTAGCTCCCGGTGGCTCTTTAGGAGGGGCTGTGTAATTTTTGCTGCACGCCAGTGCGGGTCCGTCCTGATCCTCGGTGACCTCCCCACCGTGCAGCGTCGGAGCAGCCAGCCAGTGGCCAGCTCCACGAGGCGGGGCTGCATCGGGCTGTGCACCGCTTCGCTCCTTGGAATCGGGTTCTTCCTGACGTGTGGAAGAAACGCCGTCACTGGTGCTGGCCCTGCCACTGTGCCCATTGGGGCTGGCACTTCGTGTGTCGCTGGGCTGCGCCCTGGCCTCGAGGGGAGCCGCGATGGTGAGCTGTTCACTGCCGGGCAAATCGGGCCCAACAACAATCCACCTCACGCTGGAGGGGAAGAACTTGCTCTGAAGTCAGGCTTTCCGCTGAGTGTTCCCACAAACCCTACTGCAGGAGAGCAGTGGGCGGCTCAGGCGTACCGTGCTACCAGTTCTCTCGTGATCCCCCGTGTTCTTTCCTTTCAGAGCTTACGGTGTCGTATCCATGTGCATTGGAACGGGCATGGGCGCCGCCGCGGTGTTCGAGTATCCGGGGAACTGATGGCCGGCGTGCTGCCGGAACGACGCGACGGCTCACCCTCTGCCTCCTCCAGTCGTAGCAAATGGTTGGCGCCGTGAGACGCAGCGGGTTCAGGGCTCGGTTACCCCATCTACAGACTTTAGGCACAAATTACGAAATAGAATAAATCCTACAGATCTGCTGAGAAGGTGGGACGATACAGAAGTGGCAAACGGCATCCTGCCGTGAGAAGGGAAGCGAGTTCAGCTCTTTTCAGCGACAGGCCCTTGCTTTCACTAATTAGGAACGAGTAATTTAATTGATCCCTTTATTCTGTGAATAGAGAGTAGGTCACGGTACGGTATTTTTGAACGACAGATTGTCTCAAATGGTTGTTTAAAAAACAGCAGTGCACTGGAAATGGCTTTCCCAGGCTTTCCTTCGAAGGTGTCGTCGCCGTGCAGGAAGCTAAGAAGGGCTCGTTTGGAGAGAAGCACGAAGCCTTCACATCGCTTCCTCCACCGTGCTTGGCCATGTCCCAGGTTGTCCCTGTGCTGGAGGATGAGCTGTAGCTTTTCACTTCCATCCAAGCTGCTCCGAAGCCTGCAGTGGGGGAAAGTGGAAGGACTAGGCTGTACCTTACACCGGAGCAAACGCAGTGTCGAGGTGCCTGAATAAAAGGATTTGATGATTTGCTAGAAGCCAGAAATTTGAAAGTGGCCATTCCGCCTTGAACACCACATTTCTAATTACCAGCTTGGGTGATTAATTCATGCTTAATAATACTTACCTAACATAAACCCGCTTTCATCGTTACTGCATGCACGGGGTGAGCGTAAGCGAAGCGTATGGGTCACCGGGTACAGTTCTCCCTTATCTCTTCTTCCTCTTAGGAGCAGAACGATCACGGCACTCGGAGCTAATGGCTTGACAGAGGAATGTCCTCGTCGCCTTTGACACCTTAGGAAAGTTTAAATTGGCAGCACAGCCTGAAGCCCTTGTCCTGGCTCTTGGCTTTGCACTTACTATCATCACTGGGTTCTTGTAGTGTACGTTTGTGTATGTATTGTGCTCTGCTGTCCTGAGACCCCTCCTGGAGTGCTGCGTCCAGCTGTGGAGCCCTCAACATCAGAAGGATATAGACCAGTTGGAGCGAGGCCAGAGGAGGCCACAAAGATGCTCAGAGGGCGGGAGCCCCTCTGCTATGGGGACAGGCTGAGAGAGTTGGGCTTGTTCAGCCTGGAGAAGAGAAGGCTCCGGGGAGACCTTATAGCCCCTTCCAGTGCCTGAAGGGGCTACAAGGAAACTGGGGGGGGACTTTTTACAAGGGCCTGGAGTGACAGGACAAGGGGTAACGGGATTAAATTGAAAGTGGGGAGGTTTAGATTGGATATCAGGAAGAAGTTCTTCCCAGAGAGGGTGGTAAGGCACTGGGACAGGTTGCCCAGAGAAGCTGTGGATGCCCCATCCCTGGAAGTGTCCCAGGCCAGGCTGGATGAGGCTTGGGGCAACCTGGTCTAGGGGAAGGTTGCCCTGTCCATGGGACACCTTCCAACCCAAACCATTCCATGATTCTATGATCTGTGTTCTCATTATGACGATTAACGAGCTGGAGCTATTGGCTGTTCCCACGCTCCCCGCAGTCGGTCTCGCTCGCCCAGCGATCGCACACGCTGTGTTTTAGAGCAAAAAAGGTGAATTAGAGGGGGCGGAGAGGCCTCAGCATCCTCAGGGGTCCTCTGGCGCACGGGGGTCGCTGTGTGTACACGAGCTCTCCGTGCTGCTACCGGTCGCTTTAGACTAGGCCGAAGGCAGCCATCGCGCACCTCTTGTTCCGCTCCAGCGCGGAAAGCAGCCCCTCCCCTCCCTTCCCACTGCTGCTCTTCACAAAACCCTTTTATGTGATGGGAGTGGGAAACGTCCCGGGCTTGGAAGCAGGAATTTCAGTGACCTTTAGGTACAGTAACACTAAAAACACGTGCGGAGAAGCGGGAGCGGATGGGAACCGTGTGAGGGGAGGGCAGGTTCCTCCCTGCGTAGCTGGAGGGGGTGTTCTCAGGGCCCAGGCATGGTGAAACACGCCGGGTGGTGATTTTCCAGGGAGTCCAGGGGAAGTTGGCTCTTCCCCTTTCCACGTAAGGCACGGAGAAAACGGCCAGGGAGGGCTGGCCTATCCGCTCATCCTTGCTCTTGCGATGTGTCATTGTCCATTTTAATGTCAACCAACTCAACGAGGCGAAACAGCAGCTGCTTTTTGAGGTACAAACAGTCTTCAAGGGTGATTGGAGGCAGAGGGGTTTGGCCTAACAGTTACCATAGCGATTTAAAGCTGGTTACGTTGCAGAGCCCACTTCTCTGGGGAAGGATAAGCTTATCGCAGCAATAAAAAGGCTAGAAAAGCACAGAATGAGGTGATGACCGTTTCCTTTATGGTACCGTGAGCGTTTTTCCCCTCAAAAATTTATTCTGTTCACATTCCAGTCCATATTAAACCAACCGCATGGATGAAAATCCAGGCCTGCCCGATGGCTCATCTGCATCCAACCCCGTACTTTGACACGTCCCACGCTGTCCTGCATAAATTAAATAGGGGTTTTCATACCTCCCATCCTATGTTCCGTGTCCCCTGGGCCGTAGCCTGCACGGCTCCTCTCCCAGCATCCCGGGAATGGTCACCAAGGTCTTGTATTCAGTGTCACTCCTGAAATGCAGAGGAAAAAGGCAGTTTGGTTACAGCCCGATGTGATTCCACGTGTAAGGACGGGGTTAGTCCCTTGGGGGAGGAAAAGGGGGAAGTCGGTGCCCTCAGACATGGCTGCTCCCAGCCCAGCGCTGGCCTCCAGCCTTCCCAGGCAGGAATCTCGCTTCATCATGCCGTGTCCCCACGGCTACGGACGGGATGTTTGGAACAAACGCTCCAGTCTGTACCTATGGGAAAGACACTGGATCGCTTACTCCCCGTGTGAAAGATCCGGAGTGTCTCCCCACTCGTGAAGCTGAAGTTTAGAATCACAGAATCACAGAATGGTTAGGGTTGGAAGGGACCTTAAAGATCATCCAGTTCCAACCCCCCTGCCATGGGCAGGGACACCTTCCACTAGACCAGGTTGCTCCAAGCCTCATCCAGCCTGGCCTTGAACACTTCCAGGGAGGGGGCATCCACAGCTTCTCTGGGCAACCTGTTCCAGTGCCTCACCACCCTCTCCGGGAAGAATTTCTTCCTGATACCTAATCTAATCCTCCCCACTTTCAATTTAAACCCGTTCCCCCTTGTCCTGTCAATGTTGGCTGAGCCGGTCCTGACCCCACGTCTCGGGACGCTGAGTCAAACGGCGCTTGGGCGCGCTGCCCTTTGCTCGAGCCGTCCCCTCTAGGCCGTCGTGCTGTGCAAAGAGTTGGGGTACGAGCAGCGGTATGAACGTACGAACGAGCGGTACGAACAATCTGAAAAATTTCAGATTTTTCTCTGAAATCGCTCTGAGAGCTCTCCTATTGCCAGTCCATGGAGAGTCCCTTCACCCGCGTGCCACCGCGTACTCGGAGGTGGCTGTGTTTTAAAGCCCAGTAAATCCTAAGGCACGTTCATTCTGCTGATAAAACAGCCCTTTCCCAGGGCCCAGAAATGTGCTGATCTTACCTGGGAACTGTGGTTACTGCGTTCGGTGACCAGATTTTGATTAAACTTCAATTTTCTCTCCCCGTTCTCAAACTGGAGCACTTGGAATGCAGGAAGCAGCTGGGTATCTGGCAAATGTTGATGCCTAAGTAACTCCAGGTTGTGTGGAATGACACTTTCACCTGCGGGGAGAGGAACTCGCACGACCCTCGCATAAAAAGGCACCGCGTGCAGGAAATCCAAAGTAAACATCGCTCAGAGGCCCAGGCGCACATTTTCCCACTGGAACCCAAAGGTGTCATGCCAGCAACCAAATTCCCACTGGAACAAAGCATTGTCAGTAAAGAAAAAACACAGCGATTTCCTATGAATCCGGTGCACGGAGATGGGGTGTAAAGGTGAACAGCTCATCTCTGACCCACAGGGGAGAAACAGGCTCTGGCAAGACAAAGGCTCTGAATTCTCAAGGTTACAAATACCATATTCCCAAAGCTGTCTTAAGCGTGTAAGCCATCGTTCTTCCCGCACACACAGACTCCGGGACTTCGTTTCCTTTCTTGTCATTGTGCACACCCAAAATGAACCAAATTTTTCTGTTTGCACTGCCTGTAGCCAATTTAAGGAAATGAGGGACTGCAGCCTTCGGAAATCTTTTCATTTGTCCAGCATCTATGTGGCTGTTGATTGAAACAAGCTCCAAACAACTCACAGGGTTTTTTGCAGGAGTAGGCAACGGTTCAGAATTGATGAGAAAAGTACATCAGGGCCACTGTAGAAAAATATGTTGTACCCACAGTGTAGCAGGCAGAATTACAGTAATTAATATTTGCTAATAGATCATTATTTCCCATGAAATAGGGAGATTCCTATACTGCTTGTGTCTTTCTCGTGGTTCATCTGGGCCATGCTAACACACCAATTACTAAACTATCTATTCTGGCACAGGATTATTATTTTTGAGCCTACCAGCATGTTTTGCTGTGGATAAAGTACAAGTTGCGGTTGTTGTTCTTTTTCCTCCTTATTGCTGTGGGATGTTTTGGTGCTCTTTTTGGGATCTGCTGGGCAGGCTGAAGGGCGTAGACAGAAGGAGCCTGAAGTACAGAGGAACCTTAGTGCAATTGATGAGCTTCCGACTCTGAGTCATGACCGAATCTGTCAAAACCTGGTGGAGAAATGATTCCAAACTGGTTAGTTTTAACTCCATTGAGAGGTTTGTGCTAGTTTGGTCATTCAGCACTGCTGGGGATTTGAAGGACTTTACCCCAAAGCAACCCAGTATTTTGTACTTGTGTTTTTCAAAATTTTTGGAGTAAAAAAAAACCAAAATACAAATAATGTAATAAAGTTTTGAAGTCTCTGAATGTCAGGAGTCACAGAAACTGACTTTAAGTGACTCACTCTGGCTATCAGACCTTTATGTCCT